CAACTCTGCTGTGTGCATTCTAGGGGTGTAAATCGGACAGTTCATCACGATACAATATGATATCGATTCTCTCAGCCAGCGATACAATATTTGGCAATACCTCAAAAAATTCTGCGATACAATTACGATTCGATTCGATTCAGGGCTATATCGATTGATTTATCGATATTTAGATATTAAGTGCCAACCAAGTTTACACAACCAGTTACATTTTTATTAACTCACAAATGCAACCAAAATATATAACATGAACATTTAATTAAACTCTTTGAAAACTGCTCACCCTCTTGGGACATTTACAACAGAAGAGTTCATTTGCAGAAACAGATAACCCTAACTCAGTACTTATTAATTTCATAAATTTCATTTTTTATTATTGTGCATTCCAAGTAATATCAATCAAACTGCAGCTAGGTTGTTTTGATTAAGTAATAATAACTAAAAAAAATACAGGTAACTTACAAAATTAAAGTTCATTGAAAGTATGTTTTTTACATTTTATATTTTTATACTTTGTTGTTGTGATTACACACAATACAGGGAGCTTTTCCCTCACCACTAACGTGCTGCTTTAGCAAGGTTCTGTGAAAAAGTTTCAGCTTTTATTTTTTTTATTTTACGCCCCGAAGAAGATATCATGGGTTCATCAAGTTTGTTGAAATGATCCATCCTCGATCACTTTTAGTCAGCTTTGACGAAACATCTCTCAGTTAGCACATCTTTTCGAAGTGACTAACAGCCTTGTCACCTGACCTGAATACTGGAACCTGATTCGTTAAAATGGACTTATAGGGTTGTGTTCACAAACAACAAGGGTGCTTGTCGATTTCCACTGTAAAACATGAACTTGCGATGCCTTGACAGTGGACTATACTGGCTTTTGTGACAAATCTTGTTTAGGGTTCAGTCAATCTTGTCAGGCGTCTATTTCAGCTGAGAAAATTAACGTTATAAAGGGTGACACATCAGCAGACAGTATGATGAGTAAACGAAAATGCGTGCTTTGGCAGAAATGCGTAGATGGACGTTACGTGAGGATGTGGAGAGTGTCAAAATAAAGGTACCGCTTATCGATATTTTACGTGGCATCGATGCATCGTATCGTTAGATGTTTGATTGATGCATCGATCTAGCCTAGAAATCTAGACGCACCCTAGCGGCAGCAAAAATTATTTTGCAGAAAAGTGTGGTCTAGCAACTCTCCATAGACATTTGAGCTGGAAAAACCAAAAACTGGTCCGGCCAATCAGATCGTGTAGAGTTGGTGGGCGGGCTTAACATAATGACGGCAGAGTTATGATGGTTCCGCGTGATTTCCATAGGTGATTTCCCTCTGCTTGAAAACAAAGAAGATGCTGCTGGCGAACAGCGGTCTTTCGAATCGGCTTTGCCCGCGACTCTGGATGATTTGGAGTTAAGAGAATGTCACTTAAGTCATTCCTAAAAAAGGAAGATGTGTTCAGAGTTTTGACGACCGGATACGGCAAAAGTTTAATATACCAACTAGCTGGTTCACTGGTGGAAAAACGCATGGGACTCACTCAGCCACAGCCGTTCGTTGCTCTGGTTGGTTGTAGTGCTATCCTATTGCGTGCCGAGGGATATTGAAAGACAACCGTTTATCCCGCCCCTCGGATTAAGGTATTCCAATTGTGAGTTCCCAGACCTAACATCTTGATGTAGGTCTGGCTTGCCAGGCTAGCATCGATCCATATCGATGTATTACACCCCTAATGCGTTCATGCGTTTTAAAGGCGGTGTGGCCTGATCTCATGTTTTCAAAGGTAGCTTGCTATTGCTAGCCACTCCGAAAATTGCCAACCCTACCTTTAAAGGGTTAGTTCACCCCAAAATGAAAATTCTGTCAGTAATTACTCACCCTCACGTTGTTCCAGCGACGAGAATACTTTTTGTGCGCAAAAACAAAACAAAAATAACAACTTTATTCAACTATTAATTTCCTTCTCTGTGGGCCTCGAGATTTCACGTAGTGAAACTGTGCAAACCTTCTAGGTTGTACGTCACACGCATCACGCACATGACCAGCGTCGGCCAATAGTGAGCCTACGTGTGACGTGCAACCTAGAAGCTTTGCGCAGTTTCACTACGTGAAATCTCACGGCCCACAGAGAAGGAAATGATTAGTTGAATAAAGTCGTTATTTTTGTTTGTTTTTTTGCGCCACAAAAAGTATTCTCGTCGCTTGATAAACTTAAGATTGAGCCACTGTAGTCATTTGGACTATTTTAACGATGTCTTTAACTTTTCTGGGCTGGCCAGTTTCGATCCCTTAAGAAGCCTATGGAGGAGTGAGCCAGCTCTCAGATTTAATCAAAAATATCTTAATTTGTGTTCCGAAGATGAACGAAAGTCTTACGGGGTTGGAACAACATGAGGGTGAGTAATTACTGACAGAATTTTCATTTTGGGGTGAACTAACCCTTTAAGGCTGAATTTAAGAAAGGGTCCAGGTTTAAGTGGACTAAATACTTGGAGAAGTCCAGCATATGTCACCAGATAGAAGTTTGGCGTTTCACCGGAAGATAAAGTTAAAAATAAATAGGGTGTACCTTCATTTCATGCAGAGTTTAATATCAATAACAAGCATATGCCAAGTACATAAATGAAAAAAAATCAGTAGTCCAAAGTACCTGCAGGCTGGTCAGAGGCCTCTGCACTCTCTCTGGGCAGCTTTTCAACCAGAAACATGAACAGAGAGCGAATCTCTGGTTCATTGCTGTAGAGAAATGTCTGGTAGCCAATTTCCCCTTTAAAGCCCACATCCTAAACATATATAACAACATATATAATAACTGAGAAAAAAGGTTAATTACTGATATTACAATAATAAAACATATTTTCTTGTGTAACATTTAAAGGTTTCTAAATTACATCATAAACAGATTAATGCAATAGTGGAAGATCAACTGCGGTATCTATTGTCTGCAGTAAAAGGACCCATTTATTCTATATGAAAAAACTTTATTCATAATTTATACACAAGGTATAATTGTCCACACTGTAACACATTTATTCAAACTTTTAAAAAACAAACAAAAGTGCTTATTCATCACCAGTAATGCATTTTCACTGATCATCATCAGCTGACTCAGTCAGTTGAGAGAGGTCAAGTTAAGTTTAGCAGGCAGAAGCACGTCCAGGCACCGTGTCTCTCACCTGACAGGCCTGTGCCAGGCTCATCCCCAGTCTGAAGCGGGCAGACATGCCAGGGGGGAGCGAGTGGGACAATCCATTGCCCAGCGCAGGGTCGATCACACGCAGGCATCTCACCACCGCCTCCACGATCAGCTCACTGGTGAACTGCTTCACACTCTGTACATCCTCATCAATGTCGCTGGAAGATGATAAGGTGAAAACAGCAACCACACAGACATGGACATAAGATAAGTTTGGCTTGAACCAAGATGCAAATCACTCCAAAGAGGGAGGAAATGACTTGTCACAACTGAAGAGACCTGTTAGATTTCGGATACTTACGTGCCCGCTTGTCTCAGAGAGTGAATTAAAATCCTATCGACTTCTTCCATCACGGAACGAGATTAGATATAGCTGTTCGACTGTCTTCCGTAACAATATTAAAGGCAAATAAATATCAGAAGGCTTCAGCTAACCCTCAGCATCGCCTTCACTACAGCCTGTGCAGGGCTGCTAACCAGGACGACAGTTCGGTTGCCATGGTTACATTTCAAAACGCAGCTTCAAATGAACCGTAATGAGTTATTTACCACATCCTCCAACAAAACGGCGTACCAAAATAACAGCTTTGTTCACCCAGTCTCTTCAAAATCAGCTTTTTCTGGAGAGGAAGTCATTACCTAGGAGTGTCCGACGCAGTGCATCATGGGACATGAAGTTTTAGACATTTGACACATCCATACTGAACTACTCATATAAAACTCAAGTTCCCGACATTCACAGCGCGTTCAAGTCTCGTGACGAGACCGACGCGTAAGCACGTGCGCTGAAATGTTTGAGATGTTTTTGTAGTATTATTGCTTTATTATTATTATTATTAGCTGATGATATTGATCTGAATGCATCTGTCGTCAATATTATTACGACTGATTACAATAGTAGACTATTCCTTAAACTCGACACGGATAAATTAGTATAATGATTGATAGCCTACAGTTCATCCTCAGAGATCTAAGCATTTGTTGTTGTTTTTTTTCATTTTTGAAAATGTGCATACGTAAATGCAATTTGAGAGTTACTGTTTCAGCAAATAAAATCTTAAATTTCGCTGCATTGCCATTAAAAGTCAGATTTACTTTTAGGATGTTTTTTTTTTGGTGCTTTTTTGTCTTCTCCAGAGATTCTAAACTTTTCCTTTTGTGTTCCCAGGAAGAAAGAAAGTCATACAGATTTGGAACTACGTGAGGTTGAGTAAATAATGACATAATTTTCACCTTAGGGTGAACTGTAGGCTACATTTAATAAGACAAGGGAGAGAAGAAATGATATAAGAGTATGAAAAAGAGGATAGGATATAGACAGAGGAAGTAAAGAGAAGACTATCGTTCACTTACAATTTTATTAAACCTAACTTTATTTACCTGTATTATTTTATGCTGCATGCCAATTCACGTGCTATCGGAAATTTCAGCTTCTGAAGTTGTGATTACAAGCTCATCGCATTAAAATTTTGACTTGAGGTGTTCATGTCCCATTTTTTTTAACTAGGAAACTAGTATTTACGATAATTCCAATAGCATGTGAAGGCAGCATTAAGTTTTGTCTTTTCCAGCTCAAAATATGGAGCTTCTTGTGGAGAGGACATTCCATCAATGTGCTGAATAAGAGACAAACAGATGTCAAAGCGTGAAAGAGCCATTGAATGGAATGCTGTTGCCTGCATTAACAGTTCAACAGTGACTTTAGTTGTTCATGACATCACAAGTAACTTGAGACGGCATTGAGAAGCTCCCTCCCTTTCAGGGTTTTTTCCTCCATGTGCTTCCCACCCTTGCCTCCTGCCTTACTCCCTTCAGTGGAACCACACTGTCCTCTCTCTCTCTCTCTTTCTCTATTGGGCTTAAACCTTTTAACAACTGGGATAAAAAGCAACACCTCAATCAAGAAAAGCTCTCAGAGAATGCTTCACCAGCACTGCCTTTGAGAAAACATCAACTGCCATTTAAAAGGGTGAGAGAGTCTTTTTTTCTTCTGAGTATCTGTTGTATTGCCTGAGCACATGGGCTATAAAAGCAGACTGCAGTTGACAGGAAAGGCTTAATGTTTTAGGAGAGTTTTGTTAACAAAATTAGCTTTCATTGTATTCTATAATTAGCTGTTTTACCGTCATACAATTTTCTCTTTGATTGCAATTAATTTGACTTTTAAAGGGCTTTTCTATAACAATTAAGAAAAATAGTCTGGTTAGACAGTTTTAAGATTTGTTGTTACCCTCAATCACCCTACTACAGTGTGGTAAAGAATATGGCTAAACATGACTGAAGATAATAGCTTGTGTGAGTTGCAAAGGAAAATCTTTTCTGTCCACACTGTACATGACGTTATGCAGGTATCATATATCCGATCGCAGGACTAATAAGTTTAACTCAAGCCAGATATAAAAGGCTGCTAGTTCATTTGGACTTGCACGGACTAGACATAAATGATTTGAAATATAGGGCATATGAACATATTCATAAGTCTTTAAAATGTTTTATGTTGACTGAGAGTAGTGTGCACCCACCCAACATATCTGCAAAAAACAAACAAGTCACTCTTTCTTTGAAAGGTTTTTGTTTAGAATAGATTACATGCATGGGGTGTTTCTTTTAAGCTGAACCATGACAATGTAAGAAAATAATCTTGATGAACATATAGGTTAAATGTCAGTATATCATGCATTGTTCACATTCTCTTAGTTCTTCAATGTTCCACAAATTCTTCTAGATATTGCTAGGTAAAAGTGATTATATATAATGCTATTCAGTGATACATTTAAGTCATCTCAGACTAAATTGGGACTATGAAGACCTCAAAATATCCAAACATCCAAAAATTGTTGCGCAACCTGTAAGGGTACACCCTAATGCACCCTAATGGATTGATTTAGTAAAGGCCTTTAAAGAGCATCTAGGTCATGTATTTGGGAAACGAGACATCAAATGAACTTTGTAATGTCAGTTTAGTTATTCACTAGCCTCTGGGATATTTGCAAACTTTTCAAAGAAAGATTTTTGAAAACTCTGCTACAAGGTTTGTTGAAATTTGTATTTTTTTTGTCATTAGCATCATTCATTAGAATACGCTTTCCTTTCCTACTGTATAGTATGCGAAAAACAGTATGTCAAATTAGGTTTTCCAAGTAGTATTCATGAAACAGTATAGTTACACAATACCTGGATGTTCACCTGCTGGGACTCTGAATTTTGCGTCCCAAACTTGCAATCCCAAATGAGGCCATGGGAACTATAACTGTAAGCCTCTCTTTTCAAGTACAATTGTTACAGATACCAAGAATGTTGTTCTTCGGGGTTAATTTATACTTGTTAAGTCCCAAGTGCATTATTGTTGTGGTTAATATTGTTAGTATGTAGCAGTCAGAGGACAATGGAGCCATTTTAGATGCATGGTAATGTTTTTATACTACACAACTGCCAGTGCCTACCTAAAGAAGTACTTTACCAATGATTGAGAAGTGTATTCCTCAGCAAATTCAGCACATACTTCAAAAGTAGGTGATTTTAAACGCAGCAACTTTTTAAAAACAAGTTTCAATGTACTTTCCTTATCCGCCATTGGCCAGCCAAGCAGATAATCCCGCCTTAAACTTATGCCATTGGTTGTGCCAATGTTGATATGTCGGGTTGGTCAGGATGCACAAACAGAGCAATGTATTGATAGCATGTGACGTTAGTGGTTACACTTTTCAGTCTTCAAATGGCTTTTTTTATAGCATCTGCATATAAAATAAATGTATAATATGTTAACTTAGCTTAAATGTTTTTTAATGCTAAAATTGAATTGAATAGATTTTTTTTTTGTGAAAGAAATTTACCAGAAAGAACAACAGTTTAATTTTGTGAAGTTTGTGTTGGTAAGAGCGTGACCTACAACATAAAAAAAAAAAAAGCAATTTTAGCTGTTGACTTCAGGTGAAGCACTTCCTGTTGTATTTTAATCTTTGAAGCACATAAAGTTCTTTGGCTAGAGTGTGAAAAAAAACATCACAGATAAATAATCCCACAATATATGTCGACATACCACTGTTATCTGAAAGGAAAAGTAGAGGAAATCATTATCAGGTGGAAAAGGAATGTGTCTAATTTTTTTGAGAGGAGTTTTAAAGGCACAATGTACACACTGATGTTGTGACCCACACAATTGATAAACCTCAAGTGGTTTCCGTAGCTCTTTTAAACGGATGTCCTGGACATATTGAATATACATGGCCACAGGCGTGGAAATGAGCATGCGGAGAGATCAGCGAGTGCATTGTGTGGTTTGCAACAATGACCAGACCTGGTCTTTTACTTTAACTTCCACTGTTTGAGTCTTTAGGGTTTAAAAGTAAATTCATACTGATGTGGAAAACACGTTCTGTTAGTGATATTAGTAAAATTTACTACGAGTTCATTCGAGCCTGAATTTTGGCACACATTGGCCTCTGAGCTGAAGGGATCATATTAGCTCATGGGAAATACTCTGGAAATTCAAGTATGGACAGTAGACTACACTGATGTGTCTGCCATAAAAAGAGCATTTGAGCACTGTAATACACCTCTAGCCAAGGCCTTAAAATGGATAGCAATAGTGTGAGATGTTGACATACAGGCAGAGGGTCTATAGAGAATGAGAGTGGAACGACAGGAAATGGATGAAGGAATGCGAGTGGAATGGGTGGAGAGATGGTTGTTAAGCTCTGATGGTAAGTGGCTGAAGATAGTATAGACGTTGGGATATGCTAACCTGCCAAATCTTGTCCACAAACTATTTTTGCAACATAATAAATGTGATTTAAAGGTATTTGATCACAGTTTTTAATGAAGTACTTCTCAGTTGGTTTTGGTTAAGATCCATATTAGTGTGAGTAGTTAGTTACAATGTAGTACCAAAGTAGTATCATACTAAAGTAAAAAAGAAAAAGTTGTAAATGTATAAAGTAAATTATAATAAAATGAATTAAAATAAAATAAAAACAATTTTATATTAAATATAAAATAAAATATTTTTATTTACAATATAATATTTACATTATTTTCAAATAAAATACACTAGGGGTGAATTCAGGGTGATTGGGACACTTTGCGATTGAGATGACTTGGAAAAAGTGTCCCAATCAACCTGAATTCACCACTACCGTTTAAAAGTTTAAGTCTCTGTTACACTCACCAAGGCTGCATTTATTTGATCAAAAATACAATAAAAATATTATTACAAATACAATTTAAAATAACCGTTTGAATATATTTTAAAATGCAATCTATGTGATGGTAAAGCTGCTGATCCTTGTGTCACATAATCTTTCAGAAATCATTCTAACATGCTGATTTGGTGCTCAAGTTACATTTCTTCTTATTATCAATGTTGAAAACGGTTGTGCTGCTGAATATTTTTGTGGAAAAGTTTTTAGGTTTCTTTGATAAATAGAGAGTACAAAAGAACAGCATTTATTTGAAATATAAATATTCCATTGTATCATGAACTGCATTTCTAAAGTAAATTAAAATGTTGATGTTTCGATGATTAACATTTCACTTCACAAAGCACATTTAATTAAAGGCACAGTATGTAAGTTTTCGCAGCTAGATGTCATTTATTCAAAACAACAGCAAAAGCAGATTGATGACGCCGTGAATGAGCATGGAATCACGTGGAATCTTCACCTTCACAGCCGATGGACAGGATCGTTTTCATGGATGAGCTGATGTATTAAAGTTTTATTAACGTTGCTGGGGTATGAGGCAGGTTCCTGCCGCTCCTTTTGTTTTGTTTTTTGTTTATTTTACGATTAAAGTTACATTTAACGTTCACCTGTTACGTTTGATCACTTAAATTCACATTATTTTATTTTATTCTTATGAAATAGCCACAAGTGCTGAATTACTAGAGGTCACTTTATTTGACGAATTAAAGTTGTGGGGTAACGCAGCGCTGTTTTACTTGGTCAAATCAATCGGACAAAAATACATTTGAGTGTGTTGAAAGTTATGTTAAAGTGACTCTGTGCTTTCGCTCGGGCTGTGAGACACTTGTTGCACATTGCAGTAAGGTAGATCGATATTAGAATATCATATAAATAATTAAAGCTGAATGACTTGTGTTGCTAAATGGCATGCAATTAATTTTAAAACATTTTATGGTGGAGTAGGCTACACTGTATTACTGTTACTACAAATAAAGCTCTTTCTGATTATGCTATGTTACCCACTTGACAAAATAGTGTTGTCTGATTTACTTTTTGGGTACAAACGTTACTTGTGGTAAATCAAGAAAACGAGATTCAAACAATAAGTCCATAACCGTGCTGAGCTATATAACAACGATTCATTTTCTGTTGATGAAGGTATCAGTTGCTCACCTGTCTACTAAAACATAATTATATTAAAGCATCTTTGGTGTTTCCACGGTTTCTACAGAAGTAAAACCAAAAAATTGAGGGAAGCGCATGACGTCATTAATAGCTAATTTCTCTGGATTTCAACATTGTTGGAAACATATACACAAGTCAACAAAATATAACATTGTTCTAGTGGTTTTTGGATATTTTAATCCCAAAATCTTACATATTGTGCAGTGTGCATAGTATGTTCATTTGCCTTGTTCTTTTGCATGGTTTCGGATAAGGGTCATGTCATGTTTTCCAACCATGTAGGAATCTGCCTAATTTGGTTAGCTTCTGCTAAGTGACAGTTGAATTTTCACCAAAACACTGCTATAATTGGATGGATAAAGTTGATAAGCCATTTGACTAACTAACCTATTTGTGCATGATTATATGGTTAAATAATTATATAATTAGATTATAATCTCCTCCAGTCTGAAAGCTGACAACAGTGTTTTATTTGACTATTCGTAGGAGTAAAGGGTTAAAAGTTATTCGATGTCACAGCGCTCTTTGCTACCTTCCCCCACCTCTTTCTATTTTTTCTCTTTCTCCCAGCCCCTCAATGTCCCTACTACCCACCCTGCATGTTTTAACTGAGTGCTAAGAAGTTTAAACAAATAACTCAGTGACTCCCTGAGAGTTAAGTGGAAAGGTTGTCTGTGCCAAGTAAAATTTAGCATTTAAAATCAGATCCAGAGAAGGATTACAAACAGTCATCTAGTGCTGCATTGAGGAAAGCTGCCCCAGGTAACAGTCAATCTGGTCACACTAGTATTTCACACTTGATCAGGCAGTTATTGGGAGTGGTGCTGGGCACATACGAGGTGGTCTTGTTGCAGAGAAGTTCTCTTTCTCCTCTTGTCTGTAGGCTAGCTGCCTTCAGGGTGAAATTCTTGGTGAATACACGTGTGTGACATTTTGCAGCTGACAAATGTAATTTATAGGGGATTTTTCCACGAAAAGGTTTTTTGGTGTTCATTTATAAAGACTTTGTTATGTAGAAATATTCAAGTTAGAATCAGTTCCATGTCTTTCAAGTTGCTGGTTGATGAAACCATTGAGAAGTGATGAGTTGTGTACTGTTTTAAGAGTAAAGCTGGTCACGTTAACAAACGCTTCCCTTCTGGAATGTTTTCCAGTTGGTTTCAACCTATAGTTTACACATGACTCCAATGACTCGTGCCACCAGCAATGTGACATGACATATTGCTTTTAAAGCTCATGCAATACTCTTTGGTTAAATTGGTTTGTGCTATTGGTAACATTTGACTAGGCTATATATTTTTACTCCAATTCCTTGTTGAAATATAATCATTTACACAGTTTCTGTCAATTTAATGGCAGATATTTTAAACAAAATAATTAAGACATTAAGAGGTTAAGTAAAATATAATATTTAGGCTAATTTAGTGCATATATTTAGCGAAAGAGTTTCATTTCTTTAGCGAACTAACAAGCTGTGGACACTGAATGACTTGCCTGAGGTAAATGTAATGTTACGTGACATTGTTTACAAGCTGTCTTATTGACGTCTTTTGGCTGTTGAAACACTGATTGAGCAATTACACGAGATATAATACGTTTCAGTAAGCACTGTGTCTTTTAACATACCTTCAGATGTTCATTCATGTTTATTCTGTAACTGGTATTAAAGAGGAAGAGATGACCGCGTTCACTCGCGCTGCCGCTTGAACCGAGGCACCTATGCACACACATTTCCCACATTCTTCTGGCCCACATAACGCATGTAATGATGGCAATGACTCAACATGAGTGTGGCTGGCAATAGCATACATATCCGGGCCGCGTCAATTAGGCCAACTATGTCACAAATGGCTCTGTTCTGGCAGCGGCAAAGGTCACGTGTGCCACATTTGGGCCACACACAGCAAGTCACAACTCACACTAAAACCGGCTTGATGTGTGTGGGCCAGATACGGCCCATATGACCTTTGCCGCTGACAGAACTGAGATTCCCAGATGAGGCCTGGATATGTTTGATATCTGGGCAGTGATCTGTCACGCCACATTAAAGAGCGCCAAAATGGCATTTATTGTTTGATTTTCGTGTAAAAATAGAATTTGAAAGATTACACTTTGTTTTTTATCGAAAGCAAAACGCGGAGCTTATTGCGATTATTGGTGGTGGTTAATGGTGGTTAGGCTACAACGCTGTATTCATCGTGTACACATAAGACACGAAAATCCGCGGGACGCATCCCTAATTACTATTTAATCAAATGTCAAGGAAGAACATTTTAATTTATGACAAGGTAAAGTGAGGTCAACCTCAACAATGGGCTAGGGCTGGGCTGGGCTGGGCAGGGCAGCAGGGGGAGGGGGGCGTTAGGTACGCCATGAGAGTATCGCGATAATTGACGTGTGTGGTGTATTGCGGTTTTTCGGTTTGAATATGGATACACCCCTACATAACATTAATAAATGCTGTGAAAAGTGTTGTTCATTTTTAGTTCATAATGTATTAATAATGTGAACTAATTGAACCTTAAATTTTAGTTTTATATAGAATCAGAAAATCAAGCTAAGTCACCAATGCTATATTTGAAAACTGCATATTTTGTTATTTAAGTATTATTTATAGACTATATATATGGCTTTTTTGAATTAGCTCTTATTTTTATATTTTCAGTTTTCATTTTATTTTTAGTTAAAAGATTTTTATTTTAGCTTTAATTTATTTTATATATTAAAACTTAATGCAACAATAAGTAATTTCCATTTAGATTATTCATCTAATATTTTATTTATAGCTTTACTTTAATTAATGAAAACAGTTTTGAATTGTTTTACTAACAATAACAACACTGATTGTTTATTATGTACTTTAATTGTACATTTACATTGAACATTATGTATCACTATATAATTTTTTTTTTCTGGATTACAGATAAATTGTTGATGCCTTTCTGTGCTCAGGCTTTATAAGTTATTCAGTACTGTACAATTGACTCTTTATTTGATTAACGACTTGTATGAAAAAAATGTGTAAGTCTTTTAGTAGTGAGTTTAAGCAAGAAATAATGATTATGAGCTTATGAGGAAATGCTTTCCACAAGACGCTTCCACAAGGCTTTATTATTGTTTAATTTTGTGCCTACAGGCATACATCAACTTTAAAGTGTGTGCAATTCTGCACTCCAGCCTTCAGATACTTAACAGAATTACCATTCAGCCTGATGGGTCAGACACTTTAATGACTTTTACCGTACAGTGGGGAATTCTGCCAGGCCACAGTACAAAAGGTCAACATCTCAGGCTGGCAACTGAATGGTAAATCTTGGAAACAATATATATAAATTGTCAATTCATTAGTCAGATGAGGCTAATAAGAGTCACTTTTAATGATGTAAAGTCATATTTAGTTTTTGTATATTTATAATATCCTAATTTCATAACATTTCCTAAACTCTCAGTTACTCCAGAGTTTTACATATAGCATATTTTATTTTTTAAACATCAGGCCTTTCCATTTTATAATTTCTTTGCTGTGTGTGAGGAAAGACCAAGGCGTGAATCACCATGTGCTGCCTGGCAGTATGTAATTATTACAACAAATCTTATCAAGTTTTTGAGTGTACAAGGTTGTGTTCGGAAAGCAGTTCAGGAACCACAGCTGGCAGGAGCTGCTGGAAAACTTCCAAACCTCCGAAGCTTGAGCCACGTATTCAAACTTGTGGGCTGAATGTGACTGTGAATTTCATATCCAACAGCAATTCACCTTGTTGCTTCTTCCCACAGCATTTCACAGGGTCTCATAAACACACTGATCTCATATTTGTTTACATATTTCTGATAGATTCACCCTGGCATTGGAGAGAGATTTTTCCATTTACACTTTCTTACGTGTTTGAGACACTGTGCGATAATTCGCATACACACGGCAAGAAACATTCTCAGTAGAGCTGTTTGAGTCACATGCTGTTATGTTTGTGAGTATGTGACCATTATTCCTGCCATATGGAATAGATCCCACTGATTTCAACATCTGAACCATCAGTAGTTTGCAAGCCTCTACTGAGTTAATGTATAACATAGTGATGGCCCGACTGATGTCAGTCATAATGTACTTTTCAATCAATACTGTGCACACTAGTACTACTACACACCCCCATACCTCCATTTGGGTTATTATAGTTAACTAAAACTAAAACCATAGGAAAAATAAAACGTATTACAGCTTGTTGCCAAAGCAACATTTATTATTTTCATTTAGTTTAACTTGATGTACTAAAATAACTAACTGAAATAAAAATGTATTAAAAAAAAAATGTAAAAGGTAAATACCAAAAAAAAAAATCAATGATACTAAAATAACACTCATTCCCATCCCACCCCTTCTAACAGTTGCTAAAAGACAGAATGCCAAAGGTAGCGTCTCTCCAGAGGCAGTTCCGGACACTCTTGACAGTCAGTAAAGGTTGGAATTTGGGATGAGTGTCATAAACAAAAAGTATCTTCCAGAGTTTCGATGTACACAATCGGCTGTAGAGTTACGTAATGACTAAAAAAGAGCACACAAGTTTTTTAAGTCAAACATTAATTCCAGAGCTCTTCGTTCATCAATGAATTTACGCACACAGAGAACGGCATGTTGTACCAGAACAACAGTTTGCCTAGAAGTGTGATTTTTGACACGCCCGTCACATCAGTTCTTAAAAAAACTCTCTCAGAAGCTTGTTTCTTTATACATGATCATTTACACATGCAGTTGAAAAGGCAAGAATCCAAAATAAACCTAGAATTACAGAATTCCTGGCACTCTTATGCTCTCTTGGGCTCTTTTTTTCTTCTTGAAACATGAGTCCCTCTTGAACCAGTCACAATAGAGGTGGTGAGAAATCGACACATGGACCTTATGTTTCCTGGACACTCAGCTACATCTTGACAGTTCTCACAGTTTCTCATAGGATAACTTTCAGGAAGATTATGGATTAAGAGTCTAAACAGAAGACAGGATATGAAGATGGAGTCAAAGAGGGCATTTAACAGTCTTCAGGTGGCTGCTCTAAAATAGCTCTGTGGTCGCTTCAAAGTCATTGTAAATATTGTGCAATGTCGCCTAGAATAGACTGCACAACCAGCTAAGAGACTGTTTTGATTGTGTGCTTTGGTTCTGTGTAAATGATGCAGCATTCTTTGTTGTTATCATAACAGAGTACTATTACTGTTCAATAGTTTGGGGTCAGTAAGATAAAAACTTTTTTTTTTAAAGAAAGACTATGCTGCTTCAGATGCCTCACACGAGATATTATTTTGTACTGGTTTAGTCAAACTGCTTTTATTTTTTTATTTTTTCTTGCAGATCTACTTTAGAGAAAACCCTTCACTCCACACTTCACAAGTTTCACTGCTCAAAAGAGAAAAAGCAAGAAACTATACATCATGGAACTTCAGAAACTAACAAACGGTCACCACCGTGACTTTCAACATCTTGAGGAAGGGTACGTGTCATTTAGTGATTTTGCTTTTAAAACAGAATTATACGCTTGTCTCTAAATCTGTCACTGTGTTTTCTGTTGCCTTGCAGATGCATGCTAAAAGCAAAGCAAACACACTAGTCAGTTGCTTCACCATCTCTAGAAAAACACCACAGTCATAAGCAGTTACATTTATTTTTAAGTGAATATTTGGGTGAACTTAAAATGAACTTAAATGGAAAATGTGAGCATTGCAACATCACTGAAATATTTTTTTTCCAGGGAGTGAGAAATTTAGCAGCACACCACAGCATAGCCTTCACCTCATTAGCACACAGAAATAACCTTGGATTTATGGTCACATTAATGCATTCCATACAGGTTGAAGAAATCAGCTGTGTTAACTGTTAAACAACAATATAATCAATGATATCATCCTTGAAATTTTTAATTATCACATGTCAACACTATGATAAACTGGGCCTGGGTTGTTTAGATATCAGGTGCATCTCTTTGTCTCTTTGTATCATTTCAATGGCTGTCTTGTAAGGCAAAAGGCAAAAAAAATAATTGTATTAACCTGAACCCCATGCGGCTTTGCTATACATTTACTTACACAGTTCATTTGACTTGTTAATTTTGAAGCGTCACAATTGAGTACTGGTAATTGTTGCATTTCTAAAGTGTTACATTTGTCTATTTGTTTTAGAGAGTCACCTGAACGAGAGGAGTTTTTACCACACAAGAGTGATGGAGGAAAACCCCCTCAGTTTACAGATGTGAGTGCAGAAATAAAAATCCCATTCCATCCAGCTCATATAAAGCATCCAACCATTCTCATCAGTTATTTGGCCATGGTCTCTTTTCCCACTTGCTTTCCCTCTTATTGTCTCTGTGTCTTTTTTTCTGCAAGTTTGAAGGAAAGACATCATTTGGAATGTCTGTCTTCAACCTTAGCAATGCCATCATGGGTAGTGGGATTCTGGGACTGTCCTATGCCATGTCCAACACTGGTATCATCCTCTTTCTGTAAGTATCCCAAATTGCACCTCAGGTTCACAACTGAACTATATACCCACAATGTAAATGCCCTGGAGGTCTGCAGAGTAGGTAGTTGTATGACATTTCTAACCATTTGAATGATCAGTAACTATATCTAATGAACATATAATACTTTGATTGCTTACTTTCTTCATTTTAAATGCACATCTTCAACTATGTAGAGAATTTACACAAGATAAATGTTCTTTACACTTTTTTTCATGTTCTTGTGTCATGTATTAATGTGACAGACATTATCTTGTTCATTTACTTGTTTATGTTTTTAACAGAGTCTTGTTGACCTGCATTGCTGTCTTATCAACATACTCGGTCCATCTTCTGCTGAGGAGTGCAGGGGTTGTGGGTACGACCAATTCAGAAGTTTTTGTGTTCATGTTAAAGGATTAGTTCACTTCAGAATTAAAATTTCCTGATAATTTTTCTCACCCCCATGTCATACAATATGTTTATGTCTTTCTTTCTAAAGTCGGAAAGAAATTAAGGTTTTTGAGGAAAACATTCCAGGATTTTTCTCCATATAGTGGACTTCAACAGGGAACCAACATGTTGAAGGTCCAAACTGCAGTTTTAATGCAGCTTCAAAGGGCTAGATCCCAGCTGAGGAATAAGGGTCTTATCCAGTGAAACGATCGGCCATTTTCGGCCAAAAAAAGAAATATCTATATACTTTTTACTATATACACTGCGATGCGCCACACATTACGTAATCACGTTGGAAAGGTCACGCTTGTTTCCGGTTCAAAAAGGTTGGGTAGGGCGAAAAACTCCATCTCATTTTCTCCTCCAACTTTAAAATTGTCCGGCATCGAAACTGCTATTTGGACCTTCAACCCGTTGGTTCCCGTTGGAGTCCACTAAAGGAGAAAAATCCTGGAATATCTTACTCACAAACCTTCATTTCTTTTCGACTGAAGAAAGAAAGACATAAACATCTTGGATGACATGGAAACTTTTACAATTGCTCATGACACCAATACTTCTATTTTGCATTATTTTCTAATTGAAAACAGTATTTTTCATTATAAGTCATATTAACTGTACTCTGCACAGCATATTGATTTCAGAATCTCTCAGTCTTTATCACGTCATGCTTTTAATTTAATGACAATTATGAATTATTGATTGAATGAAAGCTTTCAACAAGCTTTCTTAAGCTTTTTGATTATTTCCAGGTTGTAATTAGATTTTAAATGCAGTATTTTCAATGTGGTGTCAGACTTTTGGACCCCACTACATTTGAGATTTGCGTTAGTTCATCAGGCTAAATCATTAATCACTAACCTGTAATATTGTCTCTACAGGTATTCGTGCTTATGAACAACTGGGTAAACGAGCGTTTGGACATCCGGGAAAAATACTGGCAGCCCTTGTCATAACATTACACAACATTGGTGGTAAGTTGGAGTTTTGGCTTGGTTCTGATCTCATTTCCAAACTCCTTTTTTTTATCTCTGTATCTTTTCTCGGACTTTTTCCCGAAGCGGTCCAGTTATACTGATTATAAGTTATTATTATCCATTAGATTTAAATAGTATCTCTCTATTATTCGTAAAATGTATATTCATAAAGGGTTTTAAAGTATTATAAAGCCTTTAAAAATACAGTGATGTGATTTAGGAGCAGTCCCTGAGTCTCATGAGGAATAATATGTTGCGTATTGAAAGAATGTTAGCAGGACTGTGTTACATAACCTTCCCTCTCCGACTAACAAATGTTTTGTCCTGTCCAGCAGTATTGTAATACATTTGTGATGCTTTTGGCTCTCTAAACTTGGAAAGAGTCACATCTTCTAAATCTAAAGTATAAAATGCTGCAGTGCAAAACTCCATAATTTTCCGTAACTCATATTAAATATTGCTATGTGTTAACAATTATAAAATATGTACATCTGCCATTTAGATGGGTGTCAGTACAACCAAACTGTGTCTGATGTATCTGTCTGTCTTTCTTTCAGCAATGTCTAGCTACCTCTTCATTGTGAAGTATGAATTACCTCTGGTTATTCAGGCTTTCCTTGGCCTTCAGCACAGCAGTGGGTGAGAAACACAATAATCTGTTTCTCCCCGTGTTCTCCTAATGAGTCTAATTTAATCTAGCCAAGAATTAGATCAAATGTTTGGGTCATCCAAGGTAACTTTGCATTCCAACCTCAGAGCAATCCAAATACTCCAACTGTTGTTGAAAACATAAACACTTGCAGCGTTCCTTGCAGTAGGTGAGTAGGCTGCCTTATTCTCTCTCTCTATATATATTTTTTTTGCTTATAGTCAGTGGTTCCTGAATGGCAACTATCTGATCGTCATTGTGTCCATTTGCGTCATCTTGCCACTTGCCCTGATGAAACAGCTTGGTAAGCAATTTTCCTTTGTGCTGGTTGAGAATTCATAATCTTCTAATCCTTTCTATTTGCTTGTCACCTTGCCAGTTTTCATAATATTGTCCTCCTCTCACTTGTAAAACCAATCTTTACTCACACACACATTTGAAAGGGTCCATGGCCTTTTCTGTAGAGTCCTGCAGTATATCCAGAGTTATTTTTATGTCTGGTTTAGATTTTTTTTTTCAAGTTTTGAAATCTACAGATCTAATTTTTGTTGAGAGCGTTGATTTATAACCCAAAACAAATCGAAACAAACAACTGTTGCTAGAATCAAGTCAAGTCAAATTAAAGGTGCAGTAAGCGATTTGAGAAAAGCTGTTGGATGAGATCGGGCACCAAAACACACTTGTAGCCTATCAGCATTAAGGGGCGTATACACTCATTAGGGGGGAGGTACTCGTGTTGCATAGCGTGTTTGTGAGTTTGGGGGTGGAGCTATCAAGATAGGGGTGTGATCCTTTTGGGTAGGGGCGTGTTTGTTTTGGTGATTTCAAATATCAACAGCATTTCTCAGAAATCGGTTACTGCACCTTTAATTTGTATAGCGCTTTTCAAAATACACATTGCTTAAAAATCATGATGTTAATGTTTAAATATATCTTCGTATCCTCAAGCCTTATAGTCGTATTTAGCAGGTTAGAGCTGGGCGATAATATAGTTTACATTTTGTGTAATAATGTCTGTTGTTTGTTGCAGGGTACCTGGGCTATACCAGTGGCTTCTCTCTGACATGTATGGTTTTCTTCCTGATCTCAGTAAGTGTTGATTACTTAATGCTGTGGTCTGTGTGTGGTCTTTGGAGAAAAGATCAAAAGATTACTCAAAACCTCTCTGGTTTAACTCTATCTTTTCAACTATTTATAACTTTTTTATGTTTGTGTCCTAGGTCATCTATAAGAAGTTCAATATCCCGTGTCCTTTCGATGGTTTTACCAACCACACTGCTGAAAACATTTCTATTGATGGGGAATGTGAAGCTAAATACTTCACCATCAACCAGCAGGTTAGGAAGGATCTTCATCATTGCAAGAATCTATTCAGGAAGTATCATTTATAACCCTTTATGACTTGCACCCCAGGTCGACAAGCTTTTTGTCATTATAGCTCTGAACATTATAGCTCTGAATTATAGCTCGACACCCCAGGTCGCCGAGCTATTTGTCATTATAGCTCTGAACAGACAGGAAATGCTCAGTACCTAGATGGAAATACTGTTACCAAGCAACTAGTTCTTTCAGTACGATGACATATGTGTGAGGCTGCCTCACTGGATGAGATCAGACATGGCTTTATGTAATTTTTTATTTACTCTGTTTGTCTTGCAGACAGCCTACACGGTTCCCATCTTGGCCTTCGCTTTTGTATGCCACCCTGAGGTGCTGCCGATCTATACTGAGCTCCGCAAGTACGTTAAGAATGCACATGCTCTCTGAAAGATCATGTGACACTGAATACTGGTAATGATGCTGAAAATTCAGCTTTGCCATCACAGGAATACATTACATTTTAAAATATATTACAACAGAAAACAGTTAAATTGTACAAATTTTAAATTGTAGTTATATATAGCACAATATTGCTGTGTTTTTGATTAAATAAATGACTTGGTGAGCGTAAGAGACTTCCTATAAAATCTTTAAAGATCTTACTGAACCCAAACTTTTAAAAGGTAGTGTGTGTGTTATATACATACTTACATGCATGTATATGAATTATAAAATGTCTGTATTTCTTTGTTCCAAGAAGGAAAACATGAGTCAAAAGTAAATCTCCTTTATTATTGTTGTTTTGACACTTTTAGTCCAACAAAGAGACGCATGCAGGCCATTGCCAACGTGTCCATCCTGGGGATGTTTGTCATGTATCTGCTCACTGCCATCTTTGGCTACCTCACCTTTTATTGTAAGCGCTTTGGATTTTAAAATAAAAATTATGTTCAATGCTGCATGCCAGCCATAAAATTGACCCTAATGTACCCTTTAAGTTGCTATCCATACTATATTACCACAAAGACAATCATTTCTTCTATTAAAAGAAAAGGAAATGTAATCATTGGAAATTATTGTGTTTTAACAACATGACTTTAGAGGTGAGGCATCACTGATGCTATCTGATTACAGGCCATACTTAATAATAAATTAGTGGTTTAGCTTGTATTATAGAACCTACATCTGTGCAAGTGTGTGTAATTTAAGCTCTCAAAATATCTCTCTCTCAGTAAACACAGAGGCAGAACTTCTACACACCTACAGCAAGGTGGATCCTCTGGACACGCTCATCCTGTGTGTGCGTGTGGCCGTCCTGGTGGCCGTGACTCTGACTGTTCCTGTTGTGCTCTTCCCGGTAATGAGACCCTTTATTGAATGTGGTTATATGGTGATATCTGACTAGCTTTTTAAGATATTTATATTATATTATATTTATATTATATTATATTTATATTTTTTAAGATATTTATATTCCTAAGATAAAACTATGTTGTAGCATATTGTAAAAAGTTAATACTCCATCCAAAAATGAAAATTCTCTCATCATTTATTCACCATCATGCTGTCTCGGATGTAGAGGCTATGAACAGAAACAGATTTTTTGAAAAATAATCCATCTCTCTGAGTCCATATAATGGAAATGTACGGGATCTTTAAAAACCACACAAAGTGAACCATGACAACCCCAGTTGATGTTCCTTACTTTTCACTTCAGAAGACACTGATTCATCACCTGGGGTCTTATGGATTACCGTCGTGTTCACTTTGTGTGGTTTTTGAAGCGTCAACTTTGGGGTTCCTATACACTTGCATTATATGGACTCTCAGAGATTGATTATTTTTCTAAAAATGTTTGTTTCTGTTCATCAGAAGAAAGAAAGCCATATCCATCTGGGACGGCATGAGGGTGAGTAAAAGATGAGAGAATTTTCACTTTTGGGTGGAGTATCCCTTTTTTTTTTTTTTTTTATGCATGGCAGATGTGTTAATTATTTTGATATCTTTGTCGTATTCTTTTTTTTTTTAGATTCGCAGAGCTCTTCTTCAGCTTCTGTTCCCTGATAAGCCCTTCCATTGGGTGCGTCACATCTCTATTGCATTGTGTCTCCTTTTTGTTGTCAATCTGCTCGTCATTTTTGTGCCCAACATTCGTGACATTTTCGGCATCATCGGTGAGTAAATGAAGAAAATGTAAATGTCCACCTAAAGAAAATACTAGCACAATGCAGCAAAAGAACATTATTGTGGCTTTAGTTTAGTTGCATGATAATCTAATAAGCATAAAAATACATATCACTCACAAATATTGGGTAGAATAATCCATTTGTAATAAAAACAAATCTATTGAATAAATGAATGTACATTTATAATATTTCTCCCACTGTTTATTTGCATAAAGTTGAGCTCTGCTCGTTAGCAGCTATAAATGGTTAGACAAGACATCACAATTCAGCATTCAGATATTACAATGATGTCATCAGGGTTACAATGATGTTATCACTGCTGCATTTTGAATGCTGGGGATTCTATCATTGTATGTCAATGGTCAAATTGTCTTAGAGGTGCGGTCACATTTACGGTTGTTCGATGAATTTTCATGGGCGAAATCCAGTAATTTCAATAAGAATCCACACGATTGTTAATTTAAGATTTTTCTGTGAAGATTTCGCAACGGATTTAGGCTGGTCACGCGGATTCGCCGCCTTGACCAACAGAAGGTTTATGAAGGTGCATGGTTTAAAAGTGACAATAGACAATAGAACTTTTGGGGCCGAAGTTTCGCTAATGTGACCGCACTTTAAGCTTAAACTTCCTGTAGAAGTTTCATTTATTTTTTATTCATTTCATAGGTGCAACCTCTGCTCCAAGCTTGATCTTCATCCTCCCGGGTCTTTTTTACATCCGAATCGTTTCCACCGAGCAAGAGCCGATGAACTCAAGACCAAAAATTCAGGCAAGTCTCAAACTTTCCCTATTTTGAATCAATGTGGTGTACACATAAATCACAAGAGAATTTGATTTAATGTACACATTTCGGATGACTGAGAGTCAGATGTTCGTAGTCATCAAAAGTATCTTCTCTTGTGTTTCAGGCTGCCTGCTTCACTGCTCTAGGCTTCATCTTTATGAGCATGAGCTTGACGTTCATCGCACTGGATTGGGTCTACGGAGAGAATCGAAGTGGAGGAGGTCACTGATCTTCAACCACAAAACTGTAAGGGTCCAAAAAGCCTTTGAGGAACATCACCACCCCTTCTCTTTCCTGAATGTGAGAGAATCCAAAACATCACTTAGGCTGGACCCAACTCACCTCAGATCTGTTGCCCCGCTGAGTAAGGAAAAGGACTGATGTCCTGCCATCTTTAAAATTAAAATGGATAAATCCTATGATGTTTCATAGTGGAGGATTTCTGGGGGACACAGAAATGTCATGCCATTTTGAGGCTGCTTCTACAATCAGGCTTCATAACGATAAATTATGTTTGTGTTGTAGATGGAAGCCCGCTAAATAGAATAACGCTAAAAGATACAGCACATGCCAAAATAAATGACTGGAGGGGTTTGTTTTATTGTCTGATGGAGACAATATCATCTGACCTACCATCAGACCTATCATCTGGTCTTTTGTCCCATCAAATGCAAGCCACAGACCCAGAGTGCAATTCTTAGGAAACTGAAACACATATTCCTTCTTTAGTTTGTTCATCCAAAAATGTTGCGATAAGAAAATTCAACATCATCTCAGAATGGCTGCAGACCTGAACTGAATCTGTCAGCGTCGTCTTCTTCTTTTTTTTCTTATCCAAGAATTTATGAAATTCAAGTTCAGAAAAAAAAATTTGAGATAAAAATAGTCATGAAATATTGTGTGATAAAAACTGCACTACAATTAAAAAGACAATCAGCTTTATCCTATTTCAGGTTTTTTTTCCTGCTGGATATCATTTACTTTGTCAAACAAATGTAAGGTACGTACAGTTGCAATATTTCGTGGTGCAGTGGGGTGTAATGCCATCTGTTGTTTCAGTTGAGGAACCAGTGGATAACTACAATTAAGGTGCTTACATTGCTTACATCACTGTGATGCATCTAATGCAAACAAAACCTAACCTGTGAATTCATTGATTTATGCCATATTCCCATCGATCATTCACAATCTAACAACATGTATCATACATGGCCAACCCATCTATAATTACCTTTCTTTCTGTTTTGATTCAAAACGGTTGATGGAAAAGTAAAATGTCCCCCCTAATTACACAAATTGGAGAAAAGATTTATAATTTATATAAATTATATAAGTTGTGCAGTGGGACCCAAATGTCCACACTGAAAAAGACCATATGGTAAATCTAGGATTTAACATTCTGTATTCTAATAAAGTTTTAGAATTACTATTTTTAAAAGTTTTTACACAAAAACACCAACAATTGCCAAAAGCCTTTAAAACTTTAATCAACGAAAAGAGCAACACCTTCGCATGTCATGAAATGACATCTTTTCCTCCTGGTCCTCTGTAGACAATGCATCGCTTAGTGATTTCATGGCAGACCTACTCACAGTGTGCACTCCAGACCATTGCCATTAAAAGGATAGCAGTCCCACTCCTCTTCAAGTTCCCACTATCCCGCAATGCCTATTTATTCTGTTTTAGGAGAAATAAATACATCGTTTCCATGACCGTGTTTGTTAGTTAATTAGAAAACTGGTGCAAAAATTGTATGAGGTTAAAGATTGACAGTTCCAATGTGAAACACAAACACACCAAAGAGAGTTAGCAGTTGAACAAGTGCCTTTTTCTACTGCTTTTACATTTGTTTGTTGGTTTACTGAACTCACCTTTGACTTTGCCATAACATTTTCAATAAAAAACGTGTGGTCAGTATTAAAAATTGCAGTATGTATTTATTTATTTGTGTACCCCTGTTTTCCTGGTTTGAGTACATCATTTATACATTGTAAAAAAAACCTTAAAGAGGTTACCTTAAAATTTTGAGTTGATTGAAATTAATAATTGTAGTTAATACAATGGGGATTGGTTTAATCAACAGAAAATCTAAATAGTATGATATCTGAACCACATTAATTATCTAGTTTGATTTGACAAAAGAAAAAAGTTGTGGTAACAAATCATGAAAATAATATTTTACAGTGTAATGTCTATTTAATGAATCCCTTATTACATAATATGAAATCATTCTTAACAGTATTCACTTCTTATGATCATTTTCTCTTTAACTTTAACATATTAAAATGTTTTAATAATCATTAAGTTAGATAGGCTATAATATAATAAATGGTAATAATTATACAAAATCTGTACATATACATCCTAGAAATGAAGTTATAATTCTGTAAATCTTCTGTAACAATACATGGTTTACATTTATATTCAGAGTTATAAGATATATTCAAATAGAAAACAGTTATTTTAATTTGTAATAATATTTTGCCATATTACTGTGTATTTTTATCAAATAAATGCATTGGTGATGAACATAACAGACTTCTTTCAAAAACATAAAAAATAGTGTAATGTTTCCAAACATTTCACAGGTACTTTATGTGAGTGTATATTGTTATTGTTGCTCCTCCTCCTTTATATGAGCGAAGGAACACGTGCCTGTCCACGGCATTCTGAGAGCAGATCTGCGCAGTGGTTTTGTTCTTCCTGTTCTCTTTTGCTGTGCTGCATTTACATCAGATTACAACACGGAAGCAACGGTTCCTCCGAATCATTTGCCTGTCCCAAAAAGGATTCAGACAGGTACTGTGGGCCGAGTAGGGGCCCCAGGCGTGGAGTCCCAGGATCTGAGTGTCCATTTGATCAAGGAGAGATGAGTAAAGGAAAAACCAAAGGGCAGGAGAACATGCCCAGTTCTCTCCTCAGCAGCCAGGAGAATGAACGCCTGCTGGAGCTGCTGGGAAGGAGATGTGTGGTGAGTGAAGTAACTTTGATTTGAGGGCCAATCATAGATGGGCATTCTGTCCCACAAAGGATTTTGGGGATGGAAATCAATCAGTTATAAAAGAGAAAGTCCTCAAAGGAGAGACATGGAGCAGAGGTCACAGATGAGATTAGAGCTGTTACTGTTGATGTCAGTTAAAGGTCAAAGTGACACTCAGCCTTTCAAGTCCTTTTGTAGATGAAGAGATTGCACACAAAACATGTCTAGGACAACCTGTGACAGAATTTGCTGTAACAGCTCAACTATTTAATCCACTGTGTTTTGATTTTGCAATTATATTCACCCAGCAAAACTCCTAATATCATAAAAGCATAATTAGTTTTCTTCCAAATGTACACTTCACAACATTGTTAACCTGTTGGTATTGATGATTTATGTTTGCGACTACAAAGTTTAACTGGAGAGTGACAGGAAATGCTGTATGAGGCCACTTCCTGTTGTTGAAGAGGATGCTGATGTCTTTGCTCGAGCTTTTATTTGAATACTTCACTGATTAATCTTTTGTACATTTATGTAAGTTTATTGTGTTTGTGTGTGTGTGTGTGTGTGTGAACGCAGAGCACGGCCACAGCGGTTGTTCAGTTGTACATGGCTCTTCCTCACAGTCCGACCCAATGGAGTCTCCAACATACAGGAGTCGTGTGTTTCATTAAGGACAATCCTAAACGTTCATATTACATCCGGCTCTATGACATAAAGGTTAGAAATTCAGTTTTGAATCTGTAGTGTAAAAAAACCTTAACAAACATGCTCAGTATTTATATAACGTTTAAGCATCTTGCATCTATGCAGATAGAGATGCTGTCGATGCTTTTCTGAGATTGTATGCTGATAAATTAATATATACTGACTTCTGTTAGCATGACCATGGATGACCTGCGACCAAACAGGCTGAAATTAAATAAAGATACACTTCTGCTTTGAGTTCTGAGTCACAGCAGCTCAACTCAACTCATTCATGACAACACATTGTGGAAGCACCATTTAGACTTTGATAAGAATTTATGCGTGTTTTCATTTCATTTATTTATTTTTGTCAGGAAGGTAAAATGGTCTGGGAGCAGGAGCTATATAATCAGATGACATATTCCTGTCCATTGAGGTTCTTCCACAGTTTTTCAGCTGATGTGGGTAGACTCCTTTAAAATCTTGAAAACTCGTGTTAAATTATAGTCACTGTCTAAATAACTGCTCGAATTAAGCCACACTGGCATCATCAGAAATGTCTTTAAGTTTTGAATTGATTTTAAAACTGTCAGATTTGTTTTCTCTGCAAAATCTCACAATCTGGGAGATCTAATACAAATTTAAATGCACTTTAATTGTGTCTCAGGACTGTCAAGTAGGTTTGAACTTTGCCAGTGAGACAGAAGCTGAAGTGTTCAGAAACGTCACTGAGGAGAAGATTAATCACAGATTCAACCGCCAGGGTCAGTTACTGTCATTCTCATTCATATCTATATGAATTTTGCTCATTACCCATAAAAACTTCCTTTTTTATACATGCATATTTAGAAAAACGACAGCATGCTCCATCTGAAGGTATGTGTCTTCAGTTTAAAATTACATGGCTATTAATTTATAAATTAGCATTTTAAGACACTTTTTTTACTAACAGAGAAACAGGCACTACAACAAATCCCTCCAACAAATGGTGAGTCACTTTTAAAAGATTTGAAGACTTCATTATTGTTTCATTTACTCACCATTTTGTCATTACGTACCTGTATGACTTTCTTCTGTGGAACACAATTTTTTTTTAAATAAATGTATATAATGAAATTCAGTGGGGTTTTATACCCCTGAGGTTTTTTTTTTTACCCAAAATATTTTTTCAGCAGAAGAAAGTAAGTCAAACGGATTTGGAACAACAAGAGGGTCAATAAACGATGACAGAATTTTCATTTTTGGATGAACTATCCCTTTAATTCATCCTGGAGTGTTCACATAGTCTGAATGCATTGATAAATACAAGTGTTTAACCAAATATGTCTGTTAATCAGGTCCAGTTTCACAGCCCAGTTTAATGACCACGGTGGACATCCAGAACCCAGATATTGTTGCATCAAGGTACCGCTCTCCCCCAGTGCCGATCCCCGCACCAGCTTCAGTCTCCATATTAAGCAAAAAAGACAAAAAGGGAAAGAAGAAAGGCCCAAGGCTCACTAAGGCAGATATTGGAGCACCTAGTGGATTCAAGTAAGAAGGTTTTACCATAAGTTGGACACTCACTTTGTGTTTTTGTTCCATCTGTTTGAAGTGATGCTGTCTGTGCCTCTCCTGCCTTTTTAGACACGTCACTCATATTGGGTGGGATCCAAACTCTGGTTTTGATGTAAGAATTGTCCCTTTTCCTTAATGCATAAAGCAAATTTAGTCACATAAACTCGGCTTATTCTGATATAGCAAATAGCATTTCTAAAGTTATAAAAACAGCATTTTATGAACACTGACTTTGGCCCCTCCAGACCAACAATCTCGACCCTGACCTGAAGAAACTGTTCAACAGTGCTGGTATCAGTGACGCCCAGCTGGCAGATAAAGAAACATCTAAGCTAATCTATGACTTCATCGAGCAATCTGGAGGGTTGGATGCAGTAAAAGAGGAAATGAGGAAACAGGGTAAGCTCATTTTAAAATAAAATAACATTTATTTTGTTTACCATTTTAACTCTCTGTGTGGAATATTTGGAAGTTTGATTTGGAAATTTCACTTCGGTCAGCATGAAAAAGATACATTTTATAAATGCACCTTATTGATATTATTGTGAGCGATTCATCCGTGCAGGAATGTTTCATTTATTTTATTTTGAGCTTGTCATTTTTTATTATCAAAATGTTAAAACTTGATCTTCCAGTCAAATGACTTCTCTCTGGTGATGTTTGCTGGACTTCTCCAATCATGTGATCTGCTTAAACCCTGCCCCTTTCTTACAATCGCATTCAGATCACAGAACCAAGACCCCAGCCTACTTTTTCCCCATTTTTGATAATGCGTTTCACTCGAATGTACACCGCAATATGGAAGAAAAAAAATGGAAGTCACTACTTTGCTCTGGAATAGCCTTCCTGATATTGTTCGTTGCTCAGACTCGTTCTCCCAGTTTAAAACTAGACTAAAGACGCATCTATTTAGCCAGGCATTCACATAATTTTTTTATCTTACAGTTACTGTAAATTCGGCCTCTACTTCATAAACGCCAGAGGAGAACTGGCCCCGACTGAGCCTGGGTTCTCCCAAGGTTTTTTTTTCTCCATTGGGTCATCTGATGGAGTTTTAGGACACCATCTGGTCACTTGATGGAGTTTTTCGGTTCCTTGCCACTGTTGCCTTTGGCTTGCTCAGTTGGGAATATTCAAATTAAATGACCCATCATACCACTGATCAGCTCTACCAAACTTGGATGTCTTTTTCCAGTAATAAACAAACACTGTTAAGTTGTTTTGATTGATACTGTGAAGCAGCTTTGATACAATCTGTATTGTGAAAAGCGCTATATAAATATATTTGACTTGACTTGACTACTTTCGTTACATCACAACTTTAATGATCTTTGTTGCTCTCACTGATGCTTCTCGGTACCATTCTGGCTCTCTCCCTCCAGACCCAGGAGGTCCTCGTTCTGCCCCTGCACCTCCTCCACCCCGTGGTGGGCTTCCCCCAGTGCCAGGCCCACCCGGACGCCCTCCACCACCTGCACGCAGTCCTGGACCTCCGCATCGCGGTCCACCGCCACCTGGAGGCCGTTGTGGGCCTCCACCCCCACTGCCATCCTCTCTTCCGCCACCACCACCCAGCCACAGTCACAAGCCATCTCCTCCACCTATGGGTGGAGGTGCGCCACCTCCGCCCCCACCACCTCCTCCACCACCACCTTCTTCAGCCGCTAACTTCCCCAGTAGCCCTGCCAGCTCAGCTCCACCTCCTCCTCCTCCCTCTGGTGGTGGAGGACGAGGAACTTTACTGGAGGAAATTCGTCGTGGGCGTGTGCTAAAGAATGTACGTGAGACATTTTCATACAAACGCAATGCATTTTGTTCAATATGAGCATTATACTCTGCTTTGTTGTGAATAACCACGTTTTGAACGGTTATATGGTGTTTATCTCAGGTGCCTGACTCCCCGGACTCTAATCCAGCTCAAGATGAGTCCTCAGAGGGAATTGTGGGAGCTCTGATGATGGTGATGCAGAAAAGGAGTAAAGTTATCCATTCCTCAGGTAACTCGATCAATAAATCTAAAGGGTTTTTTCACACTTTTACAAATTCAACCTATAAAATATAACCTATTGAATGACTCGTGGCAGTAGCAAGTCCCATACTTGCTCTGCAATAACAGCCGCAGCGTAGCAGATCTATTCCACCAAAACCAAGCATACAACATTGTCATACCCATAAACATTATTTTGCTTAGTATGGTTGAATTGGATCATCGAAAGTCAGCAGCAAAGACATTGGCTTATAAATTGAGATTAAATACATAAAGTATATTTGTATTATTTGAAGCTATTTTAATTATTGCATTTTGCGTAATATTCTAAGTTTGCATTTCACTGTTTTTATTCATTTTGAGAAATACTGAATCTGTATGAGCTCACATCATAGCCAGCAGCCATATATCCCACTTAAGCCCAAGACTGTTGCCCACTGAAGCTAAGCAGGGTTGAGTCTGGTCAGTCTCTGGATGGGAATCCTCCTGGGAAAACTAGGTTGCTGCTGGAAGAGGTGTTAGTGAGGGCAGCAGGGGGTGATAACGTCCCATTATGATTATTATTGCAAAAAGCACAGTCCTTCGGAAGAGATAAACTGAGGTCCTGACTCTCTGTGGTCATTAAATATCCCAGGATGTCCTTTGAAAAAACAAAAACAGTAGGGGTTGAGCTGGCATCCTGACAAAATTTGAAAATTGGCCTCTGTTCATCATAATGGCCTCCTAATCATCCCCATATATACTGAATGGCTTCATCACTGTCTCCTCTCCACCAATAAGCTGGTGTGTGGTGGGCGTTCTGGCGCAATATGGCTGCCGTCGCATCGTCCAGGAGGATGCTGCACATTGGGGGTGGTCGAGTGGTCTAAATGCAATGTGCTTTGAGTGCAGAGAAAAGTGTTATATAAATGTAACAAATTATGATTATTATAACATTTAGACTAGAACTACAATAACCATCATGTTTACACAGCACACACAACGCCTCTGCACTTACTCTCAACATAAGTGTCAGTCAATAAATGATAAAACTTGCATTACTCATTTGAATAAGTAGCTCAGATATTTAATTGTTAATATATAAGTAGTGTGTTACTTTTCTAGTTACTCGAAAAAAGTATCTGATTACGTAACTTAATTGTAATGTGTTACTACCCCTAACACTACTTTCATGTGCTAGTGATTCACTGATTCTTGTAGTAATTTTGATGTATATTTCTTTGATTTTTTCAGATGATGAAGAAGATGATGGTGGTGATGAAGAGGAAGAGGATGAATGGGACAACTAATGCTTCTCTCTGCTCTTGGTTCACACACTTATGCCATTTCTGACATTCTATTTTATCAATAGACATGAAATCTGTTATTCCAGATTAAAGTCGCACTAAATGATCTGAGGATCTACTGGAAATCAAATAAAGCAATATAAACTAAACTCTGATAATGACTAGATTTCAAGCCCATTTTGCCGTTTGTCTCACTCGTTTCAAAGACTGTTCTGTCTTCTTTGTGCAGCAGTAGTTCAATGTGAGTTCATTCAAGAAGAAGGAACTTCAGTTGAGCCAAACCAGGAGTGGTGTTAGATTTCATCCAAACAGTCGGACCCGCCAAGCTTAACCACAGCTTTATGTTGGATATTTCCTTCTGTTTGTGCATACTTTTAACTCAACAACTGTCTTTTTCCAAATCTCTCTCCCTTAACCACAAACCCAGTAATGTTATTCTTGTCAAGGTAAGATATATTAAGTTTTGTAAGGCTGCATATATATATCACCTCCCCCTACAGCAGGGGTCTCAAACTCAAATTAACTGGGGGCCGCTAGAGGTAGAGTCTGGGTCAGGCTGGGCCGCATCAAGTATTCCACAAAAAAATTGTATTCAAGTATTCCAAAAAAGGAGCACAACTGATCCAATCTTCTCAATCTTTATTATTAACGTTTCTTCTGAACTGTTCCTCTGAATTTGAACATTCCTTTCTGTACATGATTGGTTCTTCATGAGCTGTCCTTCTGACAGTTGAAGTTCATTTTACAAACTTTCTTTGTCTATAACACATATTTGTGATATTTATATTTGCTTATGTCCTTTTTATTTTCTTTATACAACACATTAATGATATTGAATGTTTTTTTTGGAAGGCACATTTCCTTTTATTATACTTAGAAAAACAATTATTGCTTTTGAAATACAAATATTTGCAGTCATGTCTGCCCGTCTTATTGAATTCTTTGTATAGTGTCTCAAATTACTGACTGCACAAATCAAAGCAAACCTTCTTATCAACCTGTTGGACACATATTACAAGCTCAAAGTGATTATTCTCACATTGTTTTAGAGCAGTGTCTCTCTCCAACACGTCGCTCGCGAGCTGCCAGTAGCTCGTGGCCTGATTGGTGGTAGCTCGCCAAGGGGCCGTTCACATATCGCGCTCACATATTTTGCGCGCTCAAGTTCGTAATTTCAAATGTAGGCGCGCGGCAAGCGCGCTCATAATTGAAGCGACGCGCTCATTTTTTCCAGGCGCAGTATGTTTGTACTTCGCGGTTGTCTATGACAACTATTGACAACAAACCCTCCGTAAGCTGTCACGAGACTATCTATGGTAGCTCATAAGGGATACTTTTTTTTTTCTTTTTTTTTTACGCGGCACACGCAACGACGGGCCGCACTAACATTAAACTTTAATGTCAAGTAGGGGGCCACAAAATATCACCCCGCGGGCCGCAAATGGCCCGCGGGCCGCGAGTTTGAGACCCCTGCCCTACAGGACTTATGTGGAAGTACAAGTAACAACAGTTTAAAAAGTATTCTTGTAATCTTTGTAATGTTTAAAAAAAAAAATTGAAATATAATTTAAATAAGTATAATGTACAGTATTGTATATGATATACTGTACATATAATATAATTAAGACATTTATGTAGCCTTTTCTAAACGTGCATAAAAAAAAAAAAAAAAAAAACATCTGAATCTTGAGACAAAACAATGGAACTGACATATTTTAAAATAAGTCAGTACAAATTGCTTTCAGTTAAAACATGCATTTTAGTCCAGGACTAGTCTTAAGCCTTGTCTGTGAAACCGGGGGTTAATGCATTATATTAATATAAACATGGTGTTCAGACAGAAAAAAACTGGATAAAAACAAAAAACAGCAGTTTATTGTTATTGCTTTAAAAAACACCTAGTAGGACTCCCAAGCCCCAGAATACCATGATAATAAAATAATATTTATCACAAAAAATCACATTAACATGAACCTACACAAACATCTGTAAATACAAAGAGGAAATATTCAGGAAGCAACCATATTTAGGAAGTTTCTTTTTAGTTCAACAGCCAACACCAAAAGAAAGACACAACAGGACAAAGAAAGCCTATGTGGCATTTAAGTTCCTGCAGAGACAGACTCGGTTGTCATTCTGCACAATAACATCTCTGTGGAGAGGAAAGAATTGTGGTTTGGACTTTAGAGTTTGTTCTCTGCCCTTCAAGACCAGATAACATGAATGGGGTTAAAACCACTGAACGCTTTCATTATAAATATGCCACCAACACCCAAATGAAGAGAAAGAGTCTCTTATCCTTTAAAACATAATGACATTAATGGGCCAGACAAAGTAGATGTTAACAGAAGAAAATTATACAACACATTTCCTTTGCCTTTGTCCTTTAGTTTGGTGCTAAGTGATTTTCCACAGAAAGTGCTAAAAGAGGTAGACATTTCTGGCTTGAAACACCAACTGATAAAATGAACTGATTTTTTTTTACCCATTTTTTTTCTTGAGAACCTCGAGGTTAATTTAAATGAGTTTCAATGAGTTTAAAATACTAATTACAATTGCTCTAAAAACATCTACCTCTTTCTCATCAGCATCTCTCCATGTGTCCTGGTCCTGTTAATAAACAATACATAAAATGTCAATTTCCATTAAAACCAGCCCTGTCCCACCACCAAAGAGCACAACTCACATGAATATGTACACTCTCACAATAAATATGTTGTATGGTGTGGGTGAGAGAAAGAGAGAGAAAGAGGGTCACGGGAGAGATGAGGAAAGAGAGGAGGTTAGTTTTTAATCCTGACCACCAGTGACTATAGTCAAATACATACATTTTCTATGTACATGTGTCATTGTCACACAACACAAAGCACAGATACTGTGTTTATACACGAGCAAAAAACATGACCACATATCACCATTGACAAACTGTGGAATACAACATGATTTGATTATGGATTGAGAATGAGAATGTTTTTAGTGGTCCGACTACATTTCATCAGAGTCTAAAGGCAAAGATAGAAGAGACCAGACTGAAAAACTGCATCTATACAGCAGTTCAAATCAGGGAAGCTCCGTTTGTTGGGGGACGAACAATACAAGACAAAACAAGAGGATATAACGGACTTGTATTTTGGTTGCTTTCACAATCAAAGATGAAAAATTTCACCTGCAATGTGAAGTACGTATCGAGGCTTTTCACACTACAGCCATATCTGATTTCATTCGTTACAAGGGAGAGATTCTGATGCACAATTTCTATAAACATTTCGATTTTTGCAAATCCCATGACTTTCATTTTGGTCCAAAGTATTGTCCTAAAAAATTCCAGGGCAATGATCCAATCATGTTACAAATTCTGAAACCAGAGCGGCTTGTTCCACTTCAAAAAGAAGACAACATTTTATATTATTTTTTAACAATATTATAATATTTTTTTAGTATTAGATAATCATTTTGATAATCCATTTGAAATGTAAAAAAAATATTTTTAAATGTATTTTTAATCTAAAGACCAACATAGTTATTTTCAATCATTTTTAATTCACAATCAATCTAAAGTTTTATCTGAAACAACATGTTTAACCATGCAAGTGATACAGAAATATCACTTTCGGTGGAAGTTGCTTATCAATTCTAGGCTTTCAATTTCTGTCATGGATCAAGACTAAAATCAAAGCTCAAATGCATGTAGGACTATAAATGACACTTAAAGATACATTTATAATAAGTTATCAATTTATTAATTCAAACAAAAATGGAATAAATCACTTTCCATTTTTATGTTTGAAATATTATATATATATATTCATTTTATTTTTAATTGCCCCCCCTAGCCCTCCATTCAAATGGATCTGTTCTTCAAAGGACTTTCCAATGGAAAACTCCATAAAAACCTTTAAATGCTAAGAAAAGTAAAAACTTCAGTGGTCAAAATGATGGGAAGATATATTGTGCTATAATAATAGTCTTGCAGATACGTACTTCCAAGGATCTTAAAATGTACAAGAAGATTTATTCCAATGCTGCATTTAATATTCCGGGTGTTCAGAGATGCCTGACTGAATCTGCGATCTTTAAATTCAACCTTTTGATGCCTCTATAATGCAAAGCAAAAACATATTTTCGAATGTTTCTGATAGTATTTACACTGCACTTATCTGTGTACTGAATCTTAAAAGGGAATAGCTTATATTTTACATAATACGGCAGTAGTTTTGCTGGTGCGGCTGAACGTTTTAAGGAATTTATTTAGAAAACAGAGTAGTTTAACACTAACTATGGAAGTGAGCACACCAAAGCCAGATTTATATTAGTTAGGGGAGCTAAGTGCATCAAACTGTACCTCAAAATGAAAATCTATTTAGTTCAGACACAGTCTGATACATCTAATGAATCATTTTATTAAAGGGACTGAATAGGAGTTTGCCTGGAGGGAGTACATAATGATGGGGCAACATGGACTGGACAAGGTCAACAAGGTCCCAGATGCTGTTCCATTCACTGCTCCTGCAGCTCCTCCTCTTCCTGTTCTCCTGTGTGCCTGCGGTTGTTGCGTTTGGCTTTGTGTGGTTGGCTTTGTATCTGCTGCCTGTAGGACTGGCAGTACTGGTTGATGAGACGCACTTCAGGCTGCGGGTGGAGCTGGAGTTGAGATGGGTGGGACTGAGGGGGAGGGGGCGGGGGTGGAGGGTGGTGATGGGAATGGTGGCGGCGGTGCTCTGGTTCTACAGAGACGTCTGACTCGGTCAGCGCCTCCACAATCTCCCGGTCCAGGATCCTCAGGGAGATGCGCGCCACGGTGTGTTTGAAGTTGTTCTCAGTTGCCAGGCAGTGGTAAAGGCCGGCATCCGATTGGGCGAGAGATTTCAGCAGGATGCCATGCCCGGTCTTCAAGACCTCTTTGTCTCGATTGAGCTGAAAGAGAAAAGGAGTCTTTTATGTCCTCTAAATTAATGAGGCGAAACACAAAGGAGATATTTTAAAGAATTTGTCAATGAAAGTCAATGGGGTCCAAAACAACAATTTGTCAATGAAAGTCAAT